CCCCGGGATGAGGTGCGGCGCGCAGGGCGGGCTGGCGGCGCCTTTCTCTTACCATCGGAGTTGGTCTCGGGATCGAAGCGCTGACCGCAGCCCCGGTTGTAGCACAGCAGGGCCATTTCCTTCCCTGCCGTTAAGAGTCAGACTCCAACCCCGGGAACCGCAGGAGGCTGCGTCTGCAACAACCGGACTGACGGCCCGGGCTGCGGCTTCCGGAAACGGCCGCCGTCGCTTCAGGAACCTTCGCGAATTTTCCGGTCGCGCAGGCGCAGAGGCGATGAGAAGAGGCGGAGGACGAGCAGGAGGCGGGGCGCCGGCGGGGGCCTCTGGGGTCCCGGCGCCGCGGCTCGCGGCCGGGCGCGGAGGGGCATCTTAGGTTCTCGCAGAAGAAAAACCCTAAAGGCAGAACGTGAAGGCGTCCGCGGTGGTGTCGTTCTGTCTCCAGATTTCCTCACGCCTTATTGGCTGTGGGTGTCTGGCGCGGAAGATCCTACCCTCGCGGCCCCACTTCCCAGCATCCCTCTACTTTGGGGACAGCAGTGTCGATATGTTTGTACCCTGGTTGCTTGAGGGTAGTAAGTGCAGAATCGTACAGAGTTTCCGAATCCTCTGCATAGAAGTTGTGCGGTTAGTGAATGATGAGAGGAATGGTGGACGACTCTCCTCGTGTGAGTGTGTCTCCACTGTCTTTATTCGGAAGCACTGAAAAAATGTAAGGCATTAGGAGCAATTTTAATAGCAGTCATTGAGGTCAAGTCACTGTGAAAATGCAAAGCACTTAGAGATCAGAATATGAAAAGTACTGATCAAATACAGTGCTAGAAATGGTCACTACTGCTCTAAGACCTTGGGGTAACCGTTACTATTTCATAATAGCTCCCATTTAATTAGTTTGTCGGTACTTAATTCTCCAATCCTGGAGCCCTTAGGAAGAGTTCGTCAAGTGCATTGTAAAAAGTATAGTTACACACTAACAGGCGCACTCAAACAAATCTAGCGCTAAGTTTCCAAACTTGGGGCATTTGAAATAAACGCAAACGCGTAAACATAAAGCATACAGAACAATCTTAAAAGATCAGTAGTTCGTAAGTAGAAGTACAAAACTATACAGTGTTTCTAGCGATCCCAAGTATTTCTGAGAGATCGGCTCACAGTCTTCCAATCACAGTAAAAGACTTACCATTTTCCCATATTTCCCCCCTTTCTTTATATTTAGAAGTGTTAAGTTTTTATGTAATAATCCCAACATAGACACATACGGTATTGTATCCTCTTATTTAACCTGAGTATTTATTTTGTTTCGTACTCATTATGAATGATGAAGTAGTTATTCTGTTGAATTAAACTGCACTATAACCATTTTCCCTTTAATCTCACCAACTTCATTGTACATAAGCTTCAATAATCAACTTATTGTATGTTGTTTTCTTATTTTAGATTTTCCCTCAGGATAATCATTGAGAAGTGGCAGTACTGGAGTAGATAGCATAAGCCTTTAAAAATAATTTTAAGATTTTAGAGATGTATATTGTCAATTGTTTCCAAAATATGATACCAGTATGCAATTTCACTAGCCATGGACTCAAGGAATAGACCATAGGAATATTAATCTTACACAGAAGTGGAGAGATGGAGAAGCTTAGAAAGTTTTTATTTGTGGCTAAATCCATTGTCTGAGTATACTAGCATCGCTGCAACATTACTAGGACTATAGGCAAATGGTTGTAATGTTTATTGTCAGTTTTTTTTCAACTATAGCTTTTTAAAATCAGAAACTAATAAATGCTTATAGTAGATAGTTTGAAAATGCAGAAATATATTAAGATCAAAATCCACAATGATTCCACCACCCACCATTAAGTACTGAAACACTAAAATAACTCCTTGATAAATTAATTTCCAGTTCTTTTTCCTAGGCATTTATTGGACTACCAGGTACCAGGAATACCACAGACTGAGAAATTTTGTGGTGGTAATATACATAATTTGTATAGTCTTTAGTTCCTGGCCCCTCTCCCAGCAACAGACACGTACTGCAACATAGTATCTTGAGATCATCCCATGTTATAAACACAGAGCTATAGAGTAGTTAATAGTGGAGTTTGGAGTCAGACCAAGATTAAAAAATCCTAGATCTGCAATACAAAGATAAAAAATACTTTCATCATCTCAGGACATCTGTCAGGGCTTCGATTTTCTCTTCTGTAAAATGTAAATAATTTTGTATAGACCATGTAAATTTTACTAGTATTAAAAGCATCTAAATAATTTTAAAGCTCTTAGTACATTGGTTTGATCATTGTACAAGCTCAATAAATGAAAAATATTTTTTCTTTGAAATGTGCTACTGTAATAGTATGACTGGATGGTATTCAATCTTATTGCTACAAATATCAGTATCTTAGACAACAAAAGGCATTTCTGTGTTGCCATCGAAGTGGTTTCCAATATTTTTCTTTTATAAACAATAATACGATCATGAAGACATTAAGAACTATGTACAAGAATGTTCGGAGTAGCATTATTTATAAAAGTCAAAGACTGGAAATACTCCAAATATTAACTAACTATAAAAAAATATGCACAATTGTGGTATAGCCATACGATGTAATAATATACAAAAATGGGAGTGAATGAACTACAAATATGAAATGGATGAATTTCACAACGTTGAGTGAAAAAAGCCAAGAGAAAAAAAAATACATGCACTGTAATCTATTTACATAAATTTCAGAAACATGCATAAATAAGCTATTATGTTAGAATGCATGCTAACATAATAAAGCCATAAAGAAATATTAAGAAGTTATCGTAAATGCCAGAATAAAGGTTAATTTTAAGGATGTCGGAGGTATTTCTGAGGTTCTGGCACATTTCATTTTTTTAGATGGTGGATGTTCACTTTATAATGATTCATAAAGCAATGAACTTATTTTATGTACTTTCTATCTTATTATTCCCATATCATAGGAATGCAAGGACTAGATATTTAAGTTGTTGAAATTTCCAGTGGTAACTTAGCTTTTAAATATTATAGCATAAATTTTTTATACAAAACATTAGTTTGAATAATCAAATTAGTTGCAGATTGTGGTAGATTGGTTGACTAGACAAACAGCTGAAACTCTAACTTATTTGCTGTGAAGGGCCTTTGGAAACTATATGGAAGTAGATAAACAACCAGTAAGTAAATGTACCATTATTAACCTATTATCCCAATCCAGAGACATGGCATAGCCAACAATGAGCAGTCATCTTGCATTTTCCTTCCTGATTGGATGTAAGTCTTGAATCTCATGTAGGATTCCTTATAGACCTGACCCGGACACATATCTACAGCAGGAAGTCCAATCTCAGGAATTGAAAAGTAATCTTACTTATTTTGATTAGTCATGCCATATTGAACATATACATTTACCTCAATTGTTTCCTCAGATCCCATTAAAATTGTGGTGAAGGAATTAAATAGATAGACAGACAGACAGACAGACAGATCCCTCCTTCCCTCCTACCCTCTCTAGAGAGAGATAGGTATATCTATTTAGCTATATATATGTATATATATCCACAATGACAAAGAAATTTGAATAGGGTACTGCAGCAGACAAATTATATCAGCAAGTTTAGATTTGTTTACTTTTGTCTTTATTTTGGTATTTAGGCTGGTTTGTGTTTTTGTTCAAGGGGTTTTTTGTATACTAATATCTTTATTTAATTAACTAACTGCTGTACTAATTAAAATAGAACTCTGTCAGAATTTACAAATACTTTTTACATTGAATAACTGAACTGAATTTATTTATTTTTTTGCAGTGGGAAGCCTGTGTTGAAGCAAAAACAAAGTTGGAGAAAAGAAGAAAGTAAAACCTCATCATGGCAGTACATATTTTCTTTTTGCTTCCCTGAACCAATCAAACTTTTAGAAATGTCCTGAACTTATTTCACTCACTATAAATGTCCTATAATAGTATTGCATATTTTGTAAATGAATCTCCCAAAATTTGTTTACTCTTTTTTCTTTAGATAAAATAGTTAATAGATTTGGATTGCCAAAAACCCTTTAGCTTTTGAAGTTCTTGGTGAATTGCAATTTAAAAAAACATGACAAACAAGAATACATTGAAACTTATCCCCACAAAGCAAGGGAGGAAAAAAATAAGAGGACGAGATGTGATAATTTTGTATATTAAAAAAATACATTTGTTTATACATTTTAGCATGTGTGCGCACACACACCACACACACATATACACACACCACACAGTTATCTGGAGTACAACTTTGGTAATGTTACCCATATTTGAATTTCACCATAGGTAGCAATCCCGGTGAATGTAATTTATCAAATTCTCTTATCAAAATTGTAAAGTATGTTTTCTTACAAAAAATTCTCATTTATTGTTTTTACTTTTTAAAATTTCCACCTAAGATAGTGACCTTACTGTTTTATTAGCCTCAAAAAACGGGAGGTGAGAATCATACACTTTTTACGTCCCATCTCACATTCTTTTGCCTCACCATTTTCTCCAGTCATTGTGATGAACTTGAAAACATCTCATTTCATCTGCATCATATACCTTTTGCTGCTCTATAGTCCCAGGCTGTTCTATGGTCCCAGGCTTCTCTGGTGCCAATATGAAAAATACCTGATAGAGTCGAAGTCAGCCATTCAGATGCTTACCAAACCTGGAGGTGGGCGGAGTAGACATTTACTGGTGCAAATCTTGAACGATTTCTAGATGAGGACTGGTGGATGAATGCTCCTGATTCTCAAGTGGTCAAGTAGTCTACAACAGGTGTACCCAACCAAGGTCAGTACACTGGTACCCGTCCGTGGCCTATTAGGAACGGGGCCTTACAACAGGAGGTGAGTGGCAGGCAAGTGAGCAAAGCTTCATTTGCATTTGCAGCCGCTCCCCAACATTAGCATCTCCACCTCAGCTCCACCTCAGATCATCAGGCATTAGATTCTCATAGGAACACCGGTTCCTGGTGCCAAAAAGGCTGGACACCACTGGTCTATAAGGTTTCTTAGAGGAATCGAGTCCCAGCTACTTACCACAGTAATAACACTGCTCAATAATCTATCCTAGGATTCAATTTTCTCCCTTCCCTTCTCTTCCCAGTTATCCAGTCGTCGTCTTTGGAATAACTTTTTAGGATAAACTATCTGTTTACAAGCTTTTGTCTCCTGTTCTGCTTTTGGAGAGGGACCAGGCTGAAACAAATTGAAATATGTTGAAATACATGCATTCTTACTGAATATCTTTTTTAAATTAAAGCTTCAAAAAATGAAATTTATCCTATCTCAGAATTTTATAG